TTGCCGATCTTGCCCCTATACCCGGGGCAACTTCGTCAATTTCTCTCTTCTTGTAAAGTTGTAATTATTTTAATTATTTTTATTTCCAAACTGATTTTAACCAGTTCTATAGTAAGGTAACATTCCAATAGACAATATGCAAAGCTTTTTTTTTTCAGTTTACAGCAGTATTTATTACACAAAATTTAAGTAAAGCTTAACATGCCGATCTTGCCCCGATCTCCCCTAATATATAGGCCTATATATATATATAAAGAGAGAGAAAGAGAAAGTGAAAGAGATATGAATATGTGTATGACTATATACTGTGTATATAGTCATACACATTATTTTGAACCAAATTTCTAAGAAATTAGAAAATTACGATAATAAAATTAAAAAAAAAATAAATTTAAAACGTGAAAATTGATTTGTATAATGGAAAGTTTTCTAAATATTTTTAAAAAAATATAATTAATTACTTACGTTTGTTAATACTTTACATAATTACATTCATGTTTACGGATAATCGACGTTTTACTTAATTAAAATCGTAAAACATCGTTTAGGCTTAATTAACCATGCGCTAAGTCGAACTGTTACAACTAATAGAGTGTTTGTAACATTTAATGTCCGGTTTATCAATGTTCTGTTTAATTAAATGTTTAAATTAGAGAGAAAAAAATTGATCGAATTTAATATAAAAACTTATTTTTCAAGTTATATATATATATATATAAATGCGCGATAAGTTTACCGAATCGGCCTTTTTTATCAATGAAATTATAAATTTAAAAATGGAAGATCACAACTTTCAGTAATGTGATCTAAGCTCATTATATATTTAATTTATTTATTTCTTTATCTTAAATTTGAAGAGAAATTAGCTTTAAATTACTATCAAATACGAGCCGTGCTAAATAAATAAATATATATAATTTTATAGTTTAATTTAATTTTATACATATAAAACTTTTTATTTTATTTAGGAGACATTTTAATCTTTAATATATCACACAGTAAGTTAGTTAATAGCCTAACTTAGTTCCCGATCCAGAGAAAAGGACTATAATGGGAGTTCCCGACTCTGAAGTCATCTCTCATATATATGATCGTGCACGTATTTGTAAAGCGATCTAGTATTGGACAGGTTCCATTATTTAATCCCAGACGCGACGAAGTTTTTACGTGAGTGGCAATAAAGCTTTCTGCTGTTTTTTTTTTCTTTCCTATTCCTCTAAAGCTCACAAATGTAACAGGATACCGTCTAAAGGAGAGAAGTATCCAAGTATTTTAACTCGGTTCTCGTATAAAGCGAACTCTCACGGGGATACGAGTTTAAATTTCGCGTTTTTTTTTTTTATGTAGCTTTTCTTGAAGAAACAAAACGAATTCGTTTACATCTAGTTCAACGATTAAACGTGTATTAAACTCAATATTTACTTCATAGAAAATTATTTACCGAAATTCGATAAAGAAAAATTGGATCAGCGAAACAATCTACTGTATTGTCCTATTTTTGTCGTTGGTCAATGTAATCAGTTGTTCGGAGCGACAGGTTTTTTTTTTTTTTTTTTCTCTTTACTAGGTTTGTTTTATTCGTTTTTCTTCGACTGGTGATTGTTGGCCAGTTGCTTTCCCTAGAAATCCCTTGGATATTGACCCGAGTTGCCAAGACAACAAGGATATACAGCGAGAAATCCAACCAACGTTCACACTAATAAATAGTTACAGCAAAGTGACTATTGGTTTCACGGTATAAAGAAAAAANTCGAGAATTTACTATAAAATTAAATAATGTTTTAAAGGAAACTAAGAACCGAAAAACCAATTTTTTAAATAAAAATTTTCCCTATTATTAGGGAAATATTCAAATTTAGGGAAAAAATTAAATTCAGCAAATTCATTTACATATTTAATCTCGTATACACCTTACAACAAAATAACACCCCCAGAAAACAGTACTAATTCGAAAAAGTTCCGCATAACAAACACATTTCCCTCGCAATACTGAAATATCCCTGCCCAGAAATATTTCAAGGATATTTCCCTGGGAGAAGGTATTTTTTTTAAATATATATATATATATATATATTTGATCAGAAAAAATCGATGGCGATAGAAAAACTTCTTGTTATAACTATTTTCCCCCGATTGTGTGAACGACAGGCGTTAAACTGGGTGAAGTTTTTTATTTGTATTACCGAATCGATTCCTCGATTTTGTAACGTATTCGCCTGGGGGAAATGACATTTTGGCAAGCATGACGCAAACAAACCAGGCAAAATGCCAAGTGAAACAATGAAGAGCTGGAAGATGCCTTTTAGTTTATATTTAACTACACTAGCCAAGAGTATTATTGAATGAGAATTCTTCCTGTAGAAAAGAAGATAAATAAAGGTTGTTGTCTCGCATCATCATCATCTTCTAGACAAACTTTAACAGTACAGGAAGCCGTTAAGGATCGACATTAAACCCACTCCCCACATTTTCCAAACTAAAGTTAGTAGATATATTGAAGTTAGTGATGCAATATTCAACATCCTCTTCATCCTCCTAATGTTTTTTCCTACTTTATATCGAGATAAGATTAAATAAAATGGCGTATAAATAAAGATTGAAGAGAACGAAAATATCCTCCTGATGTACTACAACGGCGCTGGATTGATATCGATTATTCCGTGTTGGAATATACTGATATTTCCATGTTTTCCTGACTTGTTTTCGAAGGACAAGCTCTGTAATTTATTTTTCTAGTGTGCAATTTCAGCTTCGCTAGTAATATGATGGCTTATAACTACAGAGTTTTATTTACTACTTATTGTTAGTATACTAGATTCTCTTAAGGCACTAGATTTACTATATGATAAGGCATGTTATATAGGGGGATGGTTATTTGATAGAGCGTATCATTATATCAAATAATAAATAAAAGATAAGTTGGAAATTTAATAAACAAGATAGCGAAAAATAATTTATCTAAATTGTTTATCAGCATCTGGCCCAGATAGAAAGGGACAGAAAGAGTATTTTGACAGACAAACCCAAAATTTTGGCTTATATATAATAACTAAGCATGATAGGAAGGGAAGAAATACAGGGATGCTAATATAAATGGCTATAGAATGTTAATAGAATAGCAGAAAATAATTATCTAAAGTTGCTATTTTGTGTCATTGTGTCAACCTGAAGGTAGGCAAGATCGAGGAAGACTACGAAGATTACAGAGAGAGCGAGAGCACTTGAGTTTGAAGAGACAGGACTAGAATGGATCTAATTTCATACACGTTAATGACGATGACGTCTTTGACTTCCGGATAGAGAGGATGTAGTTCGCATTTGTGATTGACCCGAGCCATGTCACCTCTCTGACACTATTTGTGTTAATTATAAACAGTAAAATTGTGTTTGGTCGTATGGTAGCTTACACATGCACTAAAATTATATCTTAGTCATAGCTTCTTGTACACTCATATGTATTAAATTACATGCTTAACCATAGTCTTCTATGTATAGGCCTAAATACTAACAAAGAATGCTCAGTGTTGCTCGGGAACTCAAGGAGAGTGATGAATTGTGCTCGTTATAAGTTAGAGTATTTTTCTCGCAGGGTAAAGGATAGTAGTATGCAAAATTTGATGAAAATCACGCAAAGGATTTGGCAATTTGTGGAGGATGAAATCAGGGAAAGCGGATTTTTTTTGGCAGTCCATGTTCCCCAAAAAATAGCTACGCGGAATTTTCTCCAGATCAGTCAAAGAATCTGGGAGTATGTAGGGAGGATAAATTCAGCAGGAAGGGGTGAGGGGTCCTTGAAACGTGGGCTATATATTTCGTGATAATCTTGACTTTCTTTTAGACATTTTATCATCGATAAGGCTCACTCGCATATGCGTACATCTGAAAACTAATCGAAAGAAATCAATTTACGTATGTAGGTAGACTATCTCATAACATAAGACTAATTCTTATTTTTAAATAATGGTACGATAGGATTAATTAATACTAAAACAACGAGCACACAAAAAATACGATAGGCTTATGCATAAAAGCTTAGTTTCATCTATATATACTGCATATAACAGATTACGGTTAAGCATGTAAGGGAATTAAATTCGTTCCTTACAGCTGTATCTGATAACATAAGAGTATTACTAGAAAGGAACGGCCAAGACAATATAAACAAAGCATATACACGACTGCCCGAATCAAAACTGAAACCGAAAGATGATAAATTTAAAAAAGCCCACCAGGTGGCGAAGGGAATTGACCTTGAACAGGCAGACAAACGACGACACCACGAACCAAGAGTTCTCGTGTCCTTTTCGTTTTTAATATGATACCAACATATAGCCCATGTTCACCCGGAAAGAGTGAGCTTTCCAATAGCGAAATAATTTTAAAAAAATGGCTTCGGTATATTTGAGAATACCTCTAGCAAACAGACAAACATTCTCACTTTATGTAGTAAACTTACTGTAGATTCTCTAAACTCACGCTTGATAACACACAAATACTCACGCCAAAATACTGTATTCATTGTTTCTTGTACACATTCATTAAATTTATGCATGGTTACATTATAGTTCGTAATATAAATCTATACACTTAACTTTGTGTAGTCAGAGCTTCCTGTATAGGCTATATATATTTAAATATACTGTACACACATACAAAGGCGAATTGAGGAGGTATGCAGGGTATAGTCGCATACACATATATGTGCATACAGATTACAGGCTGACGCACAAGTAGGTAGTGAATTATAGTTTAGTTATAGGAAAAAATTTTAGATTGTTACGATATTGATCAATTTATGGAACGGCATTTTATTAGTATTTTTAATGCGTACCCTTTCATAAAAAAGTAAACAACAGGCAGTAAAAATGTGCCGAGAACTTGTAAAAGTTTGAAATATCGTTTATTACTTGTCAATGTTAGCGTAATAAACTATTTAACAGAAGCACACTTTCACAGTTTAAACTTTTTATATCAATTTATTCAGCAAGACGTTCGAGTTTGCTGTTAGACAGCGGGATCGTGATTAAAAAATCGACTTTTCCATTGGAGGTAGCCCCAAAATAAGAACGTGACAGAGTATTTAGTGATACAAGACAACCGACGATAGTTTAAACAGCTGATTTTCTTGTGTTTTCAAGCCACAGTGTGGCCTGTTCACGTGTACACCACTTCACGAATACAACCTAATCGTGTTGTCAGTATGACCTAAATCGGCCCAGACGTCGATTGTCAGCTGCAATTACGTAACTGGAGATAATTTATTTATTGTGTTCTGGCATTCTGTATTTCCAGGAAAGAAAGAAAGAAGAGAATTTTTAAACTAAACACCGCAAACTTTGAATTTATCTTGCGTAAGGTGTGTTTATCGAACGTTTCTAGCGTGTGTGTGTGTTTCATTTCTAACACAAGCACCAGATGGCATCACTACTGTAGCGTAGAGTTAAGTTTTCAACAGGTGAATGACATAACCGACCAGGTAAAAACTAAGAAAAGGTGGGCTCAGGTGAGTTGTGTATTCTTTGTGAGTTGGAAGCAATTTTATTACACTAAAGCACTGTATATAAAAAATTAATACGTACAACACGCGAAACCGATACAAAGCAAAGAGCTGTTGTGTATGTCGACATTATAGAAGATTGATAAAAGGAGTAAACAAGGCGAACAAGGTAAGCAACTCTACTTACAAAAACAGCTCTGCTGTTAGCGAAAAGGTAATTTCTGTAGTATATAAGATGAATTTAAGCGTAAAAGCTTCGTATATACTATATTAATACTTCCTCATTCCTATAGTTATATTTAAGAATGGCCTCTTGTTAAAGGGATTGCTTCGGGATATTGATTAATTAACGAATCCTGTAGTGTAGGGGCTTCTAGTTTATGAAATACCCCCTATTAGGAGGGCTTCTAGTAAGATATTTAGAGTTTCGTTTGCACGTTTAAGTGAAAAATAATCAACCTTGAGCGCTGTTAACGAATATATGCGGAGAGAATTTAACAAAGCTGTTATGTAGTGGGTGTGATCTATTAATACTTTCTTTTAAAAAATAGGCCGAAATAGCAATACTTTCACCCTTCACACTATCATATACCGAAGCGATTACAATTGGGACAGGTGATAATAAACAGGGCAGCTTTGTCTTTAAAAGGTTTTAGGTTAATAGCGCGTGTGGTTTCTTAAAAACTTTCCATTAAAACCAATGGAACCTGCATAAAACGAGGCGATACTTGGCGCCATTCCACAATTTATATATATATATAACTCCACCCAAATTTTTTGACATTTAAACGCTCGCTTGCGTGCATATTACGTGTCGGTATATTTTATGAATCGGACGTAATGGATAATTAAATTATGAGAAAATATGCACTCGTGTCTACAATGCCAACACGCAGGATTTACTGATGCGGATAAACTGCATTGTAATTAAAAAACTATGAAGATTGACAACCTAACGTTCTATTGCTTTTACTTTTTCGCTGTATCTCGACCTTTTTTATGCTCTAAATAGTACGTAACGACCTCGATAGTTCCCCAGCTTTGACAAGAGGAACCACATATTTAACACAAGTAACAATTGCGTTTGTATTAACGGAAGAATAACAAGATAATAACTGTTTAATTATCTAAAAAGTGACACTATTCTTGAGATTTCCAGTCTAAAACTGAACTGTCTTAGCGATTTCGAGCCTAAAACTGACACAATTTTTCAGATTTCGAGCCTAAAACTTGACGATATCGTGAAAAAAAACTGGCCATATCTTGGAGATTTTGAGTGAAAAGAGAAACAAGATTATCCAAGTTGGATGTAATTAAGTTAATCTGTAGTTTCTACTTCAAAATCGCCAACTTGTTGGCGACTGAATCTGATATTTTTAATCTTGTTTGACTAGTTGTATATGCCTTAAGCTAAATTCCTTAGCAATAATAAGACTACCGCTTATTTTCTTTGGCTTTTTTTCTCTAATAAGACATACAAGTTTTTACTTATAAACTATAAAAAGAACCTTATAGCTCTTACACTCCGAAAACTGAATCAGCATCACTAGCAAAAATATTGCGTGGGGGAGACTAAATCAATTTTAAAAATCTACCCCATCAAATCTAAATTTAGTTAGCTTTACCTACATTAAAGCAATTTTGTTAAAAAAATTTAAGTAAGTTTATTAAGTAAAATTTTATCTGATATTTAATGTACCATAAATGTTATCCTGATACAAACCAGTGTAACAGGTTTATCAATGATGATGCAGGAAGGACAGAATGCAATTATTTCTGCCAGATGTATTTAATAAATTTATATTAAAAATGTTTAATAGTTTATAAATAGAAAAATGGGAATTTATAATATAACCTTGTTCTGTAATTTTTACAAAAATCAATATAAACAAGTTTGGCCCACTCACCGGAAAAGAAAAATGCCTTTTTTTAGGTTATTATTTCCTTGATACCTTAGGTCGACAGGTAAAATTTCTATATTACTTCCTCGTTTGTCAATCACACATTGACATTTTCAATTATTACCTTAAGAAAAAAAAAAAGATAAAAAAATTTAATAAATTATTAAATATTTTCTATACCTTTCTCTTAATTAATTATTTAAAAATATTAAATTAATTATAGTTATATTATTGATTTATGACATAGTATTTGTCAATAATGTATCTATACTTAAAATATTGTAATTATTATTTTGTAACTTCAATAAAAAACATTTTATGATCAATATTTTAGAATTTAAATATATGACACAGATTTGCAACCTTGAAAACTGTCCTTGTTTTCGTATACAGTGTATGAAATTTTGCATATTTGATCAGAGAAATCTCCGTCTTCCGGTTGCGGATTAGAAATTCCATTTGTCAAGGTGTTGGATTCGACTAACAATTAGGAATAATTATTGAAATTGCATCATCTCTCTTTGGAGTTCCACAAAAATGCCGCATGAAGCGTGCCTTATTTCTCCTCGAGTGATTGAATTCAGTTTGCCGTCTTCCTGAAATAACAGGAAGCGAAAAATTTGCATTTCTGAAATTCTTTTACTGAACCGTATAACAATTACATATTTAATAGTTATTAATTTGTCCCTTAGGTAATGATTGTGTGGAGGTATTTACTCATAATGTGTGCAGCTTTTGCTGCGTGTAGGTGTTTTGACACCGGTGCACCCATTAAAGCCTGTCAAGATATGATTCTGAATCATAAAGTAAAAGCGCAGAAGTCAAAATCTCCGTATCTTCTGACCGTTATGCCGATGAGAAATAAAATTTCCTTTCTAGGTAAATTTCACTCCGAAATTTAACTATAATGACATAAACTTTCTATATGTAGAGATGAGAAAGAGTAATTGAGTTTTAAAAAAATATTTAGTGAAATTAAATCATCTTGACGGTAAAGAATTTCAAGGATTTTTCCTTCAGGCTCGACTGAATAGCAATAAAAATCAAATAATCAACGGAACCTTCACTAGCAGTGGAATAAGCCAAACAAGAAACTGTTTCAATAAGAAAGATGTAGGTATTTTACTTTTCAATAAATAAAATTAACTGTCTATAAATATTTATACTTTCTAACTTTAAACAGAATGCTCTTACGCATATCAATAAAGATGGTAAAACTGTTGTTACAACCGAATGGACACCGCCACCAGATTTCGAAGGTGAAATTATATTCAGGTAAGAGAAATATATATCAAAATATGTAAAATAAAGCACTAAATAAAGATTCTTACACTCAAATTATTAATTACAGAGCTACAGTGGCTAAAAATATTAGCACGTACTGGACTGGTATAGAATCAGGAGTTATAAAAGTAACAAAGTCAACATCAAATCTCTTGAGAGTATGTAATATCGAGTCTTATTTTTATCTTATAATAGTGCTATACTCTATCAATGATGCATATTCAATAGAATTTCTTGTAGCTGTTGCATGATAAGAGATAAAAAGTAGATCAGATATACAACATCATAAAAAAATTTCTACCTACAAAGATATAATAAAAAATTTGCAATTGATTGTTTGCTTATTGTTTATCTAAACAGGCAAAACGGCAAGTACACTCTTATAACGAATGCGATCAACGCAGAGGATGTTTTGGCCTTCCTAATGATTGTATAAAGAAGTCTGATTGCACCATGTTTTTGTCCTACTATTCTGATAAAAATTCAATTATTTTTGAATTGGTGGGTGCATTGGGAACTTCTACAGGATGGATTGCGGTAGGGCTGTCTGAAGATTCAAAAATGGTAATTATTTTAAAATTTACATTAAGTGATAGTAAAAATAAATCATATAAGTCAAACAGAGATGCATAATAATTAAATAAAAACCTTAATCTAGCAATCAAAGTGAAAATGAGTTGACTTGTATAATGATTTTTTAACTCATTATGTAGGTTAACTCAAGCATAAAAGAATACATGCAAATGCAAGAATGAATTTTAAGATTTAATTTACACTTTCTGAATATTCAACGATGCAGTAAAATCTTTAAATATTGAATATTAAAAGCAAGCTTCACTATTAATTATAATAATTTAATGAAGTTAGTATTGTTTCATCTATTTAAGCAATGGTTATCAGTTCCTGAACACATCAGGTCTTGTTAAATCATTGTAAGTTGAGCAGCATGAGACCAGATAGGGCCCAAAACTTCTCTACTTACTCCATTCAGTATTCCAAACTTTCAGTATTTCTGTTCTCAGTACCCTTACATTCAGTATTGCATAAAGTACTGTGAGCACATAGTACTTTATACAGTACTGGGTGTAAGAGTATGGCTATTGTTTACTCCCCATTCAAGAGCAGAGTTGACATATGCTAAATCAGATTATTCCTTGTACAGATAACAGAAGTCACAATCCAGTGTTATGCACAAATAACAACCCAAAGAAAAAGAATGTTTTATTGGGCTGCAATTTGAAAAATTGTAGACCTATAAATTCACACTGTCATCTGTCGTTCCTTAATCTCAAGAAGGGAGTTAGATAGATGAAAGCCGAGACCAGATATGGAAAGATTAGGGGCAGGAGGCCCCAAGTAACTATATACGAACTTCCGGTTCAAACCATAAATCACATTATTTCAACCCAAAAATTTTCCCTCTAAAGAAGTTAGATAGATGACTGGCATGACTCTATTGCTAATGGAAGAGTATGATGTACAGGGGCAAGACACTACTAATTTGAGATGGAGAGCATATATTTTAAATTAAAAAATTGTCAAAAATGATTAATAATAGCAGCCTGTCATTGTGATGATATAACAATAAATATGTTGCTTATTTACTTATAAATTACAATTTTAAATTCAAATCATTAGGGCAGCGACAGCGTGACCGAATGCATCTACTCTGGACAAAATATTACCATTCAACAGAGTTGGAACGTTCCAAATCCGGAGAAAAGTAACGAACTGCTCCGAAACGTAAGTGACAAATAATTTTATTTATTTAACTTTACTAATCATTATTTATTAGACGTCTGAAGAAAATTCTTTCATCTTTAATTCTTTACAAATTAATTGGATTAATTATTGTCGGCCGCATCAATTATTTTTAGCACTCTTGGTTCTTGAAACAAAAGAAAAGGAAGGGAAAAAAAAAATCTTGTTAAGCAAAGAAGGAATAAGTAATTCATTTATTTTTAAGTGCAAATCAATAAGTTATTCAAGGAACAAAACAAATAATTAAGATTCTTGCTTTCAAAGATCTGTAAAATTAAATGAATTTAATGGCAAAAACATTTTTTAAAAAAATGCCTAAAAAATCACCTTAAGTAAAAAGTTTTTCTGCCGATGTCTTTTATTTAATCGCTTCCTTTTGCTAGTGATGTAATTTGTTGCCCAACAGAACAGCATATTTATTTAACTATATTAATTTAAACTGACTTAAATTGATTTCATTAAGCTCACTTATTCATCGCTCCTGCTTATTCTTTAAGGGATATAAAACAGCTTAATGATATTAAATGGTTACTTGAATAGCTTCCAAGATAACGTTAAATTTTCACACTGGTTGGAGGTGGAATTACGCCGAAAGTTGGCACAAATAATTCAAAACAGAATGTAAAAGTTATGGATTCACTGAGGTTAAAATAAATTTAAAGGTTAAATAAATATAACTTTTTATAAATAATTTAGAAATGTCTGAATGAAACTTGGAACCACAACTCTGCGTAATGAATGCATGCGACTAATAAGCATCATTGTGTAGAAATATAACGAATCTCAAGAGTTTTAAAATCTGTCAAGGTGAAGGTCAGGACTGTCAAGAGGGGAAGCTGGGATTTTTTCTCTAAAAAATATTCCCAGCTTCCCCCTTTGAGAGTCCTGACCAAACTAGAGACCCCTAAGAGAAAACTTAGGGATCTGTAGTTGTTCCCAATAGTTTAAAACTGGTATTTATTAATAAAAGAAAGCACTCTATACATTTCATTCATTCAAGAAAAAAAAGGTAGAAGGGGCTCACTATACTCCTGGCCATGTATTAACAGCCTGCTGAGTGTATATACTTTTACACTGGACTGTTTTACATTAAAAATTAACTGGACAAGCATAGTAATATATCTTATTGTTCTAACGAACTGCTGTCAACTGCACTCCTAAAAGTTGTAATTTTCCTCTTTCTCTCTTTTGCTTTCATTACATAAACAATAGAGAGGGTGAGAGACCTGAAAAAGTTTAATTTTGTATGCAATGAAGTATGAATTACATGATCAGTTACACAGACAATATATAAACTTTATTGTTATTTGCAATCAAGTATTGTTAGTTATTGGAGAAGTATACAATAAAAGTGTATCCTCGTATAACTAGAAACTAAATTTACAAATATTAATTATATATTTTAATGCTTTTCTCTTTGAAAGGAGTTTCCTTACTGTAAATCAATGGGGATATTCTTGGTGATAGGAATCTTTATTCTTAAATATTCTATAAAGCATGCTACTAATTTTGGCTTTGGAATAACTAGTTTCCGAGGTATGATAACTTTATTTATAAACTTTCTAAAATATCTTCTTATAATTCGTGTTAAAATAATTACTAGTTTTGCTGATAATAGTAAAATATTTTTGAGTTATTTTATAAAAAATCTTTTACAGCCCAAAGAAAACATAATTGAAGAATATGGATATTATGAGAACGGGGTGTTGACTTGTAAATGGAAGCATAGCTTTTCTATGAGAGTAAAAGATGCTAATTTTGATTTATTAAATAAAAACTATTATTTGTTACTGGCTAAAGGGTCACTAGGAGTAAATAAAGGTACATTATAAGCATAATATTTTAATAATAATATATTTTCATTGATACGAAATTCTTGACTTTTACTTTACAGTTAAAGAAAAGCATACACAACACCTGGCATCAATTAACCCAGTAAATTTAAATACAGTTTCTATTGTACAAGGAAAGTCATCACTTTTAGTCAAGATTCATGGTAATTAATATACAAAAAAAAACTAATTAAAACACTTAAGTTATGTAAATTCTGATGACAATGCTTTTTAATAGGTTCATTTATGGTAGCCACTTGGATCGGTTTGGTAAGCATTGGAATCTTGTTAGCTCGATACTATAAGCAGGTTTGGGAAGGTTCTACGTTATGCAAGTCAAAAATTTGGTTTGCGGTAAGTTTTGTTTCTATATTTGTTTGGCTTCAAATTTCATTATAAATAAGTGATTTACAACTGTTGTCCAATTTAGCATAAGTACAGGCAAAAAGACTACATCACTGAATCAAAATCCATGAAAATCCTGACCTATTCACAGAAATATCTCAATAGGAATGTACAATACTAGAGCTAGACTAAATTTGAATTTAAATTCCTCACAACAATAGAAAATATCACTTATTATGAAGTCATCCTGCTGAGACTTCTAACACTTAAGATAAATTTAAAAACAATTAAGGCTATTTTGTTGGAAAAAAAGAAGAAATTTTCTTTTTAAAACTCTTTACGCCCCATGGGCACTAAGGGGATCTTTTTAACAAGCCCATTACGGGTTTAACCAGGCCCACAGCCAGGTGGTGAGGTTGGGGCCCAACATCTGGATAGACACCTGTGAAAAATTGCTGGCATTTTTTTGACCAGTCTGGATTCAATCCTAGGTCACCTGACTGCTTAACTGCTTGGCCTCCAGCTGTTATAAACAAATTTAATGATTATTATAAGATATATAGTGAAATGTCTATTTAATCTTCTCTCAAGAGATACCAGCAAATTTCATCATAAAAGTAAGGCAAACTTGGAATAGGGGTTTTGGAAAAATGATGTTAATCAATTACAATGAATAAAATTAATAGTTTTCCAGGTTTCTTTGCATTTTTAAGACCTAAATAGAGGTCAGTTTCTTGTAGAAAGTTCTCCTGGGAGGAATCTCCCTCAGTAGATAAAGTAATGTCTTCTATTACTTATCTAATATAAAAATTTAATGGTAACTTCTTTAAATTCATATTATACTATCAACAGATGATGAAAATGAATGAAATGATAAAAACAGCCTCTTTTTTGATCAAACAATAGTGCATCAAGTGAAAAATATGGACACAAAACTCACCCAATACCCTTTTATAGTGTGAATGTTAAATCCAAATTGCATTCAGGTATATAATTAAAAAATTGATGTAAAATCAAGAAATGCTAGAACTTGAAGTCTAAATTCTATTGTTTCTATGGAGCATGGTGAAGTATTTTATGTAATCACTAATTATATTATATAAATAGCTTTATAAATACAGTATTTCAATGTGTAATTATTTATCTGCAAATATAAATGTTGGCATCTCATATCAGTAAATACTGCACCAATGCTTGACTTGCCTCGTCATCGAAGTGTTGCAGACGAGCCAAATTAAGCATTAGTGAAATATTTAATAGCTTGAAAAAATAATTTAAATCGGAATGCAGTTCTAACAATTTAAACATAAATGATTGTAGAAGAAATGCATAAAACTAAGATGTAATAATTTATTAATCGTACGTACACATGCAAGTTACAGATCTGTGCAAAATGATGATTAGAGACGAATGTTTTCAACTATTACAAATTCAAGTCATCATCATTATGCGGCAGTTGAAAACATCTGTTTCCAATGAGAATTTTTCTGAATTTTACGATTTATATACTACCGCACAGTAAATACTTATGAAATTTATAGATCAGTTTAGCAAAAGTACATTTAACAGTGTCTTTTTAAAATATAATTCATAACCAAAACAATTTATATAAGTACTGTAATTTAATTATTGTGTATTTACAGTCAGATTTTACGTTGTGTTTACACTTCAAATAACTCATACAAGAATGCTCTATTTGTATGAGAAATCAAATGCATGAACGATAGCTAGTAGATTTGTTGCCCGTTTATGATATGATTTCTCGTACAAGTTACTCGTACGTGTTAAAGTTACTCTTTTCGCTCTTTCAATACAGCTAAAAAATTCATTTTTATTTATTATTAGTAGAAAATTATAAATATTTTTTATTAAAATCTTTATAATTTATGGAATTTGTCATCATTGTATTTGTATAATTATTTAATATAATAAGTGTTGAGCATATATTTTCTTTAGAATGACAAGGAAAGATTGAAAAATCAGATTCTTAAAGAAATAATTTTCTAAAATGAGTAACTAAAGTCAATAATTTATATTTAGACTCATCGTGCCATAATGCTCCTCAGTGTATCTCTAGTCATAGCAGCATTTGTGGTAATTTTTAAGCATAAAGAAGGATGGAGTGAGGTTAGTAAATATTCTAAAATGTATTTTTTGTTAGTTTTCTACAGTAAATTTGGAAAATTTATTTATCTTAGGTACCAGATAATCCACATCCTATCTTGGGAGTTGTAACTACAGGATTAATAATTGTGCAGGTACGAATTTTTTTTTTCTCTTGGAAAATTGATGCAGGCAGAACATTTCTAAAATAATAATAATAATTATAGATGATCGCCGGTCTCGCTCGACCCAGTCCAAACTCTTCGCAGAGGCCAGTGTTTAATTGGTTACATTGGTTTATTGGAAACTGCACTCAAATTACTGCAGGTAAAATAAGTTCGTCTTGATAAAATTTCACAAATTTACATGAAATTCGTCCTACGAAATATTTTACTTTTTCAGTTATTACCATATTTTTTGCCGTTCCATTAGAAGAAGCTAATCTCGAAGATTATTTTTACTGGATATTGATAGGATTTATCGGATTTCATTTTATATTTCACATCATTATGTTGTTTCATACATGCATTATGGACAGGAAAGGTAAAACTAATTTTAAATTATATATTTAAATACATGAAATATAATTCATCCTTATTTTTTATTTTGATAGATAAAAATGAAATTAAAATGCATCAGCTGGGGCAAAATAGAGAACCAGAAGTTATTAGGGATGCACCGGTAAGATTTATATTTCTATATAATTACACTTACTAAATTAATAACAAACGGCACTAAGGGGCCTACTTATTTCTTTAGTATATTATTATTAATTTTTTTTAAAATTACTTTCTCTATATAGTAAGAGTGAAATCCTTCGTTTTTAACAGCAAAATTAAAATTATTTTTTTAATTCCGAGAAGTAAATTATTCATATTGAAAAATTTTCTTTGAATGTGGTAACATTGATGGGAGGTAATCTTTTAAAGATGGCAGCACTGTATATATCAAATGAATACAAAAAATGCCACAGTTTCGACTAAAATGTGTGTAATTCAACTCCGAAGCATAATGTGCGCTTGCCTCTTAAAGCCAAGAAAGTCTGCCACTTGACTATGAAAGTTGTTCCTCCGCAATAGTGTGATTATTATGTGGAGTGTTTGCAACTCATTAGATAACTCATTGAATAATATCAATCTGTTTGATAGGCATAGCTGCTGTGTTTGTAGCAATATTTTATCTAAAACTTCTGAATTCATTGATTAATTAGTTTTTTAGAAGCATCACAATAACCAAAAAAAAAAAAGAAACAATTTGGATAACAATATCTTAAATGAAAATTCATAATGTTGAATTGAAAGTATCCTAAGATTGACCAGATCTCATGCCTGCAACATAAGGATATATGTCCAGGAGCTTTGAACAATCACAACTGTGTTGACATTTGACTTGAGATATAGATTTTGTAAGACAGAACTCTTCTAAGTGTGAGCCATCACAGAAAATCAATGTCAAATACATCTCAAAACAGATCTTTCTTGAACCAACCACTACAATTAGATTTTATTATGTAATATTATAATTGAACAGATATTTAAACTATAATATTGAATTTTTAATACTTATAATGCTTATAATTAGACATTCGTACTATTGAGTTCTTCAGAAAGAGTCTTTTTCATGTATGAATATACTTGCTTAAAATATTCTTGAAGCAATAGAAGCTTGCTAGCTGTGCTTACTATGTAGTGCCACTTCTGCCATTAGGGGAGGATCAGAAATAGATTATGCGCAGCGACATAACTACAGTGATGCAAAGTGGTTTGGCTGAGCCTCAATACATCAAGTAAAAAAGCTTGCACCCATTCTGGGTCTATTAATTTTTTTCACTCAAGAGCTAAAGGCTTTTTTTACACTTGACATTATAGAAAAAAATGACATCATTGGACTTAAATTTATATTAGATGTTTACCTATGTCAATATAGTATATAGTTAATGTTTTTAATTATATATAGTAATTGACGAATCCCTTATTTGTATACTAATTTAGCACATTGTTATTACACAAATATAGACATTGTATAATCCAATCTTTAAGATTAACACCAAATAAATTCAGGATTATATCAGGCTATATTAATACTACTATTAATAATTAGATGTAAAGTAATTTGGTGTTAGGTGCCTGATGGAACCTAATGCCTATTTCTAGGACAAATTACTTAACATTTAATTATTAATATAAGCATTTATATAGCCCAATATAATCCAGCAATCGTTTAGCATTAAGCATATTGTTTTTGTAGAAAACTGATTAAAAACATTTCAGTTTAATTAGAATATAGTATAAAAAAATATAATTTAATTATCCTTTTCTTTGCTAGGGTGGAGGATTTCGAAGATTTATGCTCGGAATATACATAACAGTGACCGGTTCAGTGGTTGCAGCATTAGTATTGATAATATGTCTGAACTGACATCACTAACTTCGGAGAAATTAAACCATAGTACCTGTTGCCATTTCATTGTGTATACTGCATAAATACGTAGAAATTAATATTTAATTATAATCATTGCACAAGCAGAACTTTTTTGATACCTTTAAATTATGTTATATATATATTTTTTTTTAAATGCTCAAACAGTAAGTAATATAACTTGTATTTTATCTGCGTCAATAACAAAAAATCACTACCTCAACTTCTCTAAATTTTAATACATATAATAGCTTAATCCAAGTACGCACGTACCAATAAACCTGAACATGTGGATAACAGAAATGTAATTTTTTTTTCATCCACCTGTTCAGGTATACCAGTACACGTGTACTTGGCATTAGTAATTCCCAATTGAAGATACAATTTTTATTTCTAGATTCGATTCTAAGTTAGATTTTGCACGTCTTATCATAGACTAAATCTGTATAATAGCAATTCTGAATTAATCACTCTCTTTAAATAAAGAAAGACAATTTTTATTGATCAATTTTCTTTTAGCTCTGTGGCATTAATTGGAAAAGAAACTTTCTAGGTTAAATGATTTGCTCCCTCAGGAGCTCCATTTACTATAATGTGGTCATTTTTGTTTTTTTTTCTGTGAAGAAATCTTAAATTTTCTAGTGCCACAAACTACATGACTAAACAAAAGAGGGAGAATGTATCAAATTTTGTCCTGGATTTTGCCAAAATTTGAAACTTTCTTACAAAAAAAAAAAAGCAGTCAAATTAACTGTTAAAGCTGTATTTTATCCATTTTATGAGTGCATTTAATTTTCAATGATGTAAAGTTTTATGAATCTGTTATAAAACCAAATTAAATGTGCCAAAAATAGCTGCAGCATAAATTTATAGGATATTACTTAAAAAAAAAAAAGAAACAAAGTCAAATCCCAAATCTTTTTGATGGCGAGCAAAAGACAAGTCAGCTTCTGGGACAGTTATACTCTAGAGATCGGGATGTGATCCCGAACTAACCCATCTCCACCAGCGTCTCCCAAGGGAAGTGCAATCTCATGGATGCCTTGGGGTAAATGACAATTCCCAGTAGAGGAAAAACACAAGAAAAATTAAATTCACCTTTATGTTGGGAAATGCTTTTTCTTAATGCATTCAAATGGATATTTTCCCTCAGGCTATATTTAAGAAATATTATGTAATCATCGTTTTCTCATATGGTTATGTAAAAATCATTGTGTGTATTTGTAACATTTAAAGGGAAGTCATAATAAAATTCATCTGTTTAATTTGTGTAAATCTTGTTTAAAAGTTCTTTACAGGTTAGGGTCGGTGCGAATGTCTACGTAAATTTGACGTCATTCTTTACCGTTTCTCATTATAAAACTTAAGTAATGACGTCAAATTGACGTCAGAAAGTGCACTAGCCCAATCAGTCGAAGTCCCCGAGTTTCTTCGTAGTTGATATTTTTATTGATTTATAGCACTGTCAATTCAAATTTGAATCGCAGATTGATAAATAAGTAGTATTTAATACATAGAATAAACACAAACCCGTTTCTTTCGTTAAAAAAAAACCTTAAAAACTTCGTTTCTCTTCGTAAACTTCGTAGTTTAAGATAACTGCGCAATTAAAATAACAAACAACAACGCCTCCTGGAAATTACAAACATTAAAAAAAAATAATAATAATAAAATTAAAAAAAAAATAAATTTAAAACGTGAAAATTGATTTGTATAATGGAAAGTTTTCTAAATATTTTTAAAAAAATATAATTAATTACTTACGTTTGTTAATACTTTACATAATTACATTCATGTTTACGGATAATCGACGTTTTACTTAATTAAAATCGTAAAACATCGTTTAGGCTTAATTAACCATGCGCTAAGTCGAACTGTTACAACTAATAGAGTGTTTGTAACATTTAATGTCCGGTTTATCAATGTTCTGTTTAATTAAATGTTTAAATTAGAGAGAAAAAAATTGATCGAATTTAATATAAAAACTTATTTTTCAAGTTATATATATATATATATAAATGCGCGATAAGTTTACCGAATCGGCCTTTTTTATCAATGAAATTATAAATTTAAAAATGGAAGATCACAACTTTCAGTAATGTGATCTAAGCTCATTATATATTTAATTTATTTATTTCTTTATCTTAAATTTGAAGAGAAATTAGCTTTAAATTACTATCAAATACGAGCCGTGCTAAATAAATATATATATATAATTTTATAGTTTAATTTAATTTTATACATATAAAACTTTTTATTTTATTTAGGAGACATTTTAATCTTTAATATATCACACAGTAAGTTAGTTAATAGCCTAACTTAGTTCCCGATCCAGAGAAAAGGACTATAATGGGAGTTCCCGACTCTGAAGTCATCTCTCATATATATGATCGTGCACGTATTTGTAAAGCGATCTAGTATTGGACAGGTTCCATTATTTAATCCCAGACGCGACGAAGTTTTTACGTGAGTGGCAATAAAGCTTTCTGCTGTTTTTTTTTTTCTTTCCTATTCCTCTAAAGCTCACAAATGTAACAGGATACCGTCTAAAGGAGAGAAGTATCCAAGTATTTTAACTCGGTTCTCGTATAAAGCGAACTCTCACGGGGATACGAGTTTAAATTTCGCGTTTTTTTTTTTTATGTAGCTTTTCTTGAAGAAACAAAACGAATTCATTTACATCTAGTTCAACGATTAAACGTGTATTAAACTCAATATTTACTTCATAGAAAATTATTTACCGAAATTCGATAAAGAAAAATTGGATCAGCGAAACAATCTACTGTATTGTCCTATTTTTGTCGTTGGTCAATGTAATCAGTTGTTCGGAGCGACAGGTTTTTTTTTTTCTTTTTTCTCTTTACTAGGTTTGTTTTATTCGTTTTTCTTCGACTGGTGATTGTTGGCCAGTTGCTTTCCCTAGAAATCCCTTGGATATTGACCCGAGTTGCCAAGACAACAAGGATATACAGCGAGAAATCCAACCAACGTTCACACTAATAAATAGTTACAGCAAAGTGACTATTGGTTTCACGGTATAAAGAAAAAAAAAATGCGTTAAACTGAGAATTTCGATTAAAAAAAATATATTTATAAAGAGTTTTTGAAGAAAATTTTATTTTAAATCTATATTACATTCAGTTACAAGTAAATTGATAAATATTTAAACATTTTTATATTATAGTTTTGCTAAACTTACGTACTTCATTTATTAAATCGTCATAATAAAATTTTCAAAATAATTGCAAAAACTATCAAATAACTGCACACTTGTATAAACTACTGCAAAGTATTCCTCTTAATATATAGATCATTGCCACACTTGACTCACGACTTGCAATAATACCATTTACTGTTGCAAGTGTTACGAATTTCCACTTTTATACCAAATCGATCACGCAGTTATCATTAACAAGTTAAAGCGGGTCACCACAAAAATATTCCATTTCAAATCCTGTCGAAAACTTGTAAAGGTGTTGCAAACACTGTACACTAAATAATAATGCCTGATATTAATGCAAATTTGCTATAAATACGTAATAATCTTGTGTTACATCCTCATCGAATAAGTTAAATTTCTCTATTAATGCGTGTTTAACATTTGCATCCATATAAGCACATGTTAAATGGTGATAAGATCTGCTAATGACATACATCTGTTGTGATTGATGAATGTGTAGTTGCAGTACTGTATCCTTAAATTGTTATCAGCATTGTACAGAGTTGTTAAACCTGTCAAAATCCTTCTATAGGCAAGCTGTTTCTATATCGAAAGTAACCTTAGCCATGTTACTTAACCGCAATTTGTTCTTCGATCGAACACATACAACAACGCACTTACAAACTCTTAAACACAACTTAATTAGTAGAAGTTTTATTAAATTTTTTTTTATTTTTTAATTTTTTAACTTTACCTTCTTGTTGATTTAACCGGAAGAAATTTCTTAATTTAATTTTCTTCAACTTGCTAGTTTCAGATGGTATTTTATAGGAAATTTTTAAAAATTCAATATATTAATGGTGGTTGCATTATAATTAATTTATTCCAGTAACTAAAGCAGTAGTTTAGGCCATGGCATTAAAAGGGTACATCAGGGATTTTTTTATTATTATTATTGTTATTAAGTGTAAAAAAAATAGACATTTTGTTGAAGATTTTATCTAAATTATGAAAGCTGCTTGCAGCATGGTAAATTATTGTAGATAACCTTTTAAAGTATCAAAAATTGGCCCAAAAAATGAAATAAATTACTATAGTTGATATCAAGATAAATGGTAGTGAGTGATACCAGAGGAAATTTTTAAAGTAAATTTTTATCTTGCAATAAACAGATGTGGATAATATCAAAATAAATTATAAAGGATGATGTTGTTGAAGTTTTTAAGGTTATATAATTATCAAAATTGAATTGTAAATTAAAATATCTCTTCTAGAAGAATATGAATATAAAATTAAATTACTGTACTTTATTTAAAATTAGTACTTTGTAATTATTAACATAATAATGTTAATTTTAAAGGATTGCTTGAAAGATTAATGAGAGTTAATAAAATATTTTGTAATGACAAGCAAATGGTTATGGTAACTGATATGATTTTCTAACATGTAGATCGCGACCTCCTTTGATAATATTATTATCTATCAAATTACTGAAAGGTTGGAGAACTTATATTAAAGGCTAGGACATTTAAACATAGACTAAAACATTACGTATACTTTTAAATATTTATTTAAAAAAAAAATACAATTCAATAACAGATCTAGCAAAACTTAGGTACAAGCTTTTGTGATAAATCGCAAGAAAACTTGAGAAAAAAATAGATAAATATTAAAGAAAAAGAAAGTACAGCTTGAAAAAAAATTATTTCAAAACCAGAAAACAGATTAATTGCACTTTCTTAAAATAAAATTTCCATTCTTTCCCTTTATTTTACAAAGGAAACAATAATAAAAATGCATAATGAAACAAATCATGTATCATTCTGAAAAAGGGGGAGAGAAGTAACAAGGGAACAAACCAACATTACTCATAACTTGTTGCAGAAACAGTAGCAACGATAAGCCATATTAATTTTTAAGTTTTGATACGAAAGGGGGGAGTGAAAAAGTGGGAAGAAGTTTGCTGCCAACGCCAGATGTTGCCCAAAGCATCTAGAAAAAAAGAAAAAAAAATACAGGGGGAGGGAAAGTCAATACTACAGTTTTGTCTTGAGGGATTCTTCTTTTAAGAAAGAAGAAGAAAAGTTGCGATTTAATAGGAAAGAAGAAAAATTGAGAGAAAAGGTTTAGAATAACGTTTTCAAACAAGGCAAAGGTTTTTAAAACGGCATTTTCTCCATACTTGATTTTAAAATGGAAATTTTAATTTTTTTCCCCTGTGTTTTTTATAAAATGCGGTGGTTTTTTTTCCTTCGCTTCTTATTTTGACGATTTTCTACTTCTATCGATTTCTTTTTATTCTGAGAAAGTTAAGAAAAGTTTTTCAATGTAATTAGAAAAGTTAAAAATTTGTGTAAGGTATAATTATATTTAAATAAATTTTTGAGAAATTAAAGGAAATTAATGTATTTGAAAGTACAGTAAAACCTGTCCGAAACGGCACCCGAATAAAACGAAAACATGTCTTAATGGAAAAATTCTTCACAACGAAGTGACTTTCTATGTTAAAAGAAACCTGTTTAAAACGGAGTACTGCTAATACCGCGCGATTCCGGCTTACACAGGTTCTTACTGTATTTTCGAATTTTAAGTTTAGCCATTATCATAACAGGAAGGGGGCCATTTCCTGTTATGCTACTGTACTAACTTAATTGGTTATGCCACTACAGCTACTGACTAAATTATCTCTTGAAAAAGTCTGGCATTATATAATATTCTGGATTATATTCAGATATTAAGTAAGCGATTGTAATCTACCACTCTACATCAACAGAAGTAAACCATTATACACGGGGTGCTTCAAAAAGTGTTAATACTAATATAGAAGCAACGTGTGATGCCAGATTTGTAGTGGCATGTTTTTCTTCGCTTAGTTCTCCATCACGTGCAAGAAATCATTACCCGATTATGGGGTTCTCAAAAAAGTACAGTCCTACTACCACTGCCGCAACTTCCTCCGTATAAGTTCATCTAATACTGCATGCATTAAATCATTAAATCTTCGATAATCAAAGTACTAATCTCATTAAATACCAAGTCTATAATATTCAGACACTGAAGAAAATAAATTCTGAGGACCCCTGAGTAAGTCATAATTTAGAGAACACGACTGGAGAAGGCACATAATAATATCTATATGGATAATGAATCTATGACTACGTGTACTTACCACTTATCGACTGCAACGTTATTTAACGTCTCAGGGGCTAATAATATGTGCGATGTGCGTCAGTTAGCGATATAATGTAGGACATCAAATCAATCAAAATTCCTTGGGGACGGTTTAGAATTGGGCCTATTGGCTTGCCTATGGGATAATGCGCCACTGGACGTATCTAAAAATATCTATATTTAGTGATAAGTTAGCTCTGTAAGGTACTAAATCCGTAATGTTCGTGCCTGGATCTATACCAGATTTATCTAGAATTTATATAAATTTACGTCTA